TGAATACATTTTAAAAATCCTACCTTTCATTATTTATGCCGGGGTGGCCAAACTTACTGACCCTCTGAGCCGCATACGACAACCTTCAGAAGTTTGAGAGCTGGGGCACGCCTGCCAGGGCTTGTGGCTTCAGCCCCGCGGGAGGCGCTTGCTGAGGCTCGGAGTTTCAGTCCTGCAGGGTGGAGGGTCTCAAGGCTTCAGCCCCACAGGATGTGCCAGCCAGGGTTCGAGGCTTCAGCCCTGCTCCTGCTGAAGCCCCGAGCCCCGACAGGTGCCTCCCACGGGGCAGAAGCCCCGAGCTCCCTCCACCAGTCTGGTAGGCGGAAAATGGGGAGGTGTGGGGGGCAGCGTTCCCTCTAATTTTTCCTACGCAGATGCGGAATGAATTTTGTTATGTGAAACAGTATGGAGGTGGCGTGTGTCACACCACTCCATATTGGTGCACATACAAAATTCATGTGGTGGGGGTGGGGCCGAGGGGTTTGGAGTGCGGGAAGGGGCTCAGGGCTGGGGCAGAGGGTTCAGGTGTGGGCTCTGGGGTGGGGCTGGGAATGAGAGGCTGAGGGTGCAGGCTGCCCCAGGGCTAAGATGGGGAGAGAGAGGACTCCCCACAGTAGCACCTGGGCTGGGGGTGGGGGGGGAGAGAGGAAAGAGGCACTTCTCCCCACCGTGGCAGCTCTGGGACTGAGGCCACCGGATAGGTGCCTTTTCCCCGTCAGGTCTGGGGGAGGGGTGCCTCTGCCCCGTCTGTGGCAGGTTCGGGCCTGGGCTGGGGCGCCTCTCTCCACTGCAGCAGGTCCAGGGCTGGGGGAGAGGCATCTCTCCCCGCCGCAGCCCTGAGCGCCTGCGTGGTACTTAATAGGCTGCTGTGTGGGCACACAGCTTAGAGGGAACTTGTGGGGGGGCTCCGGGAGCTGTACTTTAACTGTAAAAGAGCCACATGCAGCTCATGAGCCGCTGTTTGGCGACCCCTGACTTATGCCATTAACTCACTCAATTTGGACAACGAGAATAGACTAGTCAGTTTTCCTTCCTGCTGACAGTCATCTTACAGTTACATTTTTGGGTCCTCAGGCAATAACACAGCACATCCTTGTCTACACAGAAACTTGCAACACCATATGGACACTCATATTCTGGTATAAAAAAAGTGGCTTTTTTTGGTTTAGCTTAAGTCGATCGGGACCAGGTTTAAGTTAAACTTAAATAAGCCGCTCTTCTATCAAAATAAGTGTCCATACAGGGTTTTTCACTGGTTTAACAAATACTGGTTTAAATTCACAACTTAGGTTATACCCATGTCGACAAGACCTAATTCTCAAACTGTGGTCCACAGAGAACTTACAAAGGCTGCTCTGCAGAGCTGAAACAGTGGTGAGAGACTTCTAAACCCATAGGCTAGGATATCTGCTGCTCGCTATAGCCCAATCGCCTAGGGTCTCCAGAGTCTTTTCAACCAAGTGAACTGAAAAATTCATGCCACTCTTCATCCAGTAGTGCTTCAAATTCTTCATTTCAGGTGATTTGGGGTGTAAAGTGTCAACTGTGACAAAGTTTGTAACCAAGAATAACAGCTACAAGGGGGAAGACTTGCAATTGGAAGGTCAAGTGCCCATGATAAAGTCTGTTTTTGAGAAAGTGGACAACATAATAAGAGAGTTTGAAAAATTGCAAGACAATACTTAGAACTAAATGAAAAAACAAAACAAAACAGTATTTTCCCTAAATTTTATGCCCATTTACACTGATTAGATTTTGTATACACTTTCTTTTTTTAAAACTTCAGAAACTGAAGTAAATGAGTACAAGACAGGATGCCAGAGCCTACTGTTACTCCTACACTGATTCACTGTTGACCCTGAAGTACTAACAGAACTGCCCCCATTTTCAGAAATGCTGATAAAATTCCAAGTTTCAAAAAAATAGAGTTAAATTACTACTGGGTTATCAGTAACAAAGCTGGATTAAAATAAAAGATTTAAACCATTTTAAATTGCGCCTCAAAGTGATGCTAAGTAGGTGCTTGGGAAATAACTCCACACCAAACCTCATCTCTAAGGCTTGTCTACACTACAAAGACAATCCAGTCTGAAGATCTGGTTACATGATCCTGAAAATGTGTACATGGTGAATGAGGGTAATCTATGGCATAACTAGGTCTTCTAATTCAGTGGTATTTTGCAGTACACTCAAGGAATTCAAGGGTTACAATAAGGTGTGTGATATTAAAAGAGGATGTCTGTAATGGAGCACCAGAGCTTGAAAGCCCTGCATCAAAGGTAGTCCTATAACTCCTGAGATTTATTGTGACAGTTAGGCTAAATTCAGTCTGTGAAATAAACCTAACAGCACATGGTCTCATCCACAGAGAAGTTATTCAGTGCCCTGAATCAACAGAAAAGGATTTTTTCTGCCTGAGTGCCATGTTCTTATGATCAGGCTGTTTTATCAGATTCCTATTGACTGAGACCTATCTGGGTTTCTTTTCCATCTTGGCACCAGCAAGGCAGAGCACAGCAGTGATTTTTAAAGGAATTCTGAACTCAAACAGGAGGAAACAGCACCAGGGTCTGTCTCTCAGACTCTCACAGAGTCTGCTGCCGGCCAATACATTTTTCCTTGAAGCCATACAACTTCAAAACAGGATTCAACCACATTTACAGATGGTAACTCCTGGAGACAAAGTACCCCTGACTAAGCAAAGAGTGGACTCATTTCCTCCTAGAAGCAAGAAGGAGGTCTCACACTGCAGAGCTGCTGAGGTTGGCAGATTTGATTTTGTTTAAATAAAGCTCATTCCCTCTCTAGGTGGTGCACTTCTCGGAGAGAAAATAAATAGGCTGGAAAAAAACCAGAGGCCGGCAGTGGAGAACCTGCAGAGAAGCAAGCTAAAATGTAAACAGAGAGAGATGGGGTCAGGAGGGCAGGGTGGGGACTGTTTGTTTTGAGCAGTGCCGGTGTGTTTGTTCTTGCAGGTACAGTACCACAAACCAACACAAAGTGTGGGAAGGATGGAGGGGGAGGAGCAGGGGCCACTTTCCAAAAAGGAAACAAACCCGACCTAGGATCTACAAGCTACAACCATTTTCCATCGACCAATCAGGAAAGGGCAAGCCAAACGCACACCAAATTTGGAAAGTTAATACTGGAAAGGGAGGAGAGAGGGAGGGGGGCTGAGCTAATGAAAACCTCCTCCCAACACACGGAGGGAACAAACAGGGGAGGGCTCAAGCTCTGAGCTCTCTCCAGGCCTCAAAAACATATTCTTCGAAAGGGGACAAAGGCAGTTGCTGCAGCTAATAACCCAACACAGGGAGACAGAGGCCTGGGAGAAGGCCGCACTGACATTCGCATTCTGGAGATCCAGTTTATCTGCTCAGCGAAGAACATTCACTCTCTCAAGGAGAAAAAAAAAACGCAGATCTCATTCACTTCCTGAAACACGAAAGACAGGATATGAGGGTGGAGAGAAGGAGGGGGTGAGGAGCAGAACAGGGATGTTTACAAACATGTCAGCTCCTCCCCATCAAGAGGAACACAAAACGAAAGGCATTTGGGCAAGCAAAACCTCAGAAGTCTTTTGAGGTTTTTGAAGACTCTGCTGTATTTGCTTCTGCTAAGGCAAACGGATGCAAACATCAATCATCTTTGGTGAATTATCTCTGCTGGGGCAGAGCAAAATTCAGCACTATTTCCACTCTCCCTATGCCAAACAAACAAACAAACCACCTAGTGGAGTCATGTATCAGTTGCAGACATATACCAGAGTCAAACGTGCACCCTCTGTGAGGAACGTAAGCCACACTGTGCTGCCTGACACAAAATGACAATGGAAACGGACCACAAAACTACCCACCTCCAACTCCCTGCTGCAACGAGCTTCATTTAAAAGAGGCTGAATATAAACGAAAAATGCAGCCTGAACAGAGGACTCAACCCACACCCACCACCAGCCCCCTCCTTCTTGAGTATTTATACTACACAGCAGTGCAATACTACACAGCAGTGCAACTTAGCAAAGAGGAAAACGCTTACCCAAACAAGCAATGTGCTTCCAATCCCAGGCAAAGCCAAACACTGCCTTCATGACGTCCAAGTCATTCAAGTTTTAATATACTAACTGCATTAGCACTAACAAGTAGGAGATCCATTGTGCATTACCACATTTTACAAATGGGTGAATAAGAAAAAACAAACCAAGGCAATTACATCAAACATACTTTGGTTGTTTTGACAACTAGAATATCTCCTATTGTAACAGTAAATGTATTGTATTATACTCTGTGCAAGTAAAGAAGGTTAGCATTAGGAGATCTCACTTTGGCTCTTCACTATCAACTCTTGGCTGAGAAGCAAGAAAATAATTATTTGATTTTCTGATTAGCAAAGCTTCTGAACCTTTATTAATTATCTACATAATAGAAAATACACATTTATTTACTCTCAAATCTCTGAAGTCTATCAGTGGACCAAGTGTCTGACCAATATCGTTCCCTATCCTTACTGACGGCTACCTTTACCCTAGCTTCAGGGAACACGTTGGCTCCAATTTAAAAAAAAAATAAAAAATAAATTAACAAAATATAACTTATGGAAATGAAAATAAAATTTATAACAAATAATGCAACATAGCAGGCAAACACATTTATGCACATCTAGGGAACACTTAATGGAACAGATCATCCCTAGACCATCAAAGAGATTTCACTCTATGCCCTTTTCTCATTCTTTAATTTTAGTTCTACGCATTTATTATACGAATGATTTGAGATCTTAAATCTCTATCCCTCACTCCCAGGACTTTTCAATTCATCTTTAAATAGCTTCCATGATCTGGAATATCACACAGTCAAGTTATTTTTAATGGGGGCATTTCACGTATTAAGTGTACTGGGTAACCAATGTTAGGTTGGTGCTTGGAGAATGTGGATGGAATCTCCAGCGACAACAAGGAGGGAAGACCAGAACCTTCTCTGCACTCTGTATCGCAGGTACCTTACCTGATAGTGCCAGTGGGGGAGGGCAGGGGGCTGACCAAGCTCCGGAGATCCGGCTCCGGAATGTGTATCTTCAGAGGTGATATCTGAGGATAAAGCGGCCGAAGGGGAGGTGATGAAGCTTCCTCCTTCACTTCGTCTTTATGGTATAAAGATGTGAATTGGATCTTTATGACTGTGCTAGGGAATCGGAAAGTACACCTGAAAAAGGGAAAGAGAAAGAAAGGATCAGTGTACTGCACATAAACCAACTGGATGGAACTTGCAAGTCCATGCAGAGAGGTACTCATTAATCTGTGTAGCACTAATGAATACATACGGTAAGAGTTTAGACCTCTCTACAGCACTTTTCCTTCCAGAATCCTAAACCACACTTTAACATTCATGAAGCCTACAGCGCCCCTGTGAGGATAAGAATTATTATGCCCATTTTATATATACATTAACTGAGTTTTGAAAAGTTAAGTGACTTTGCCTTAGGCCAAGCAGTGAATCAATAAGAACATAAGAACGGCCATACTGGGTCAGACCAAAGGTCCACCTAGCCCAGTATCCTGTCTTCCGACAGTGGCCAATGCCAGGTGCCCCAGCAAGGATGAACAGAGCAGGTAATCATCAAGTGATCCATCTCCTGTCACCCATTCCCCGCTTCTGGCAAACAGAGGCTAGGGACACCATCCCTACCCATCCCTGGCTAACAGCCATTGATAGACCTATCCTCCATGATGTTATCTAGTTCTTCTTTGAACCCTGTTATGGTCTTGGCCTTCACAACATCCTCTGGCAAAGAGTTCCACGGGTTGAATGTGCATTGTGTGAAGAAATGTTTCCCTTTTTTTTTTTAAACCTGCTGCCTACTAATTTCATTTGGTGGCCCCTAGTTCTTGTGTTACAGGAAGTAGTAAATAACACTTCCTTATTTACTTGTTGGGTGTAGTTTCTTACAATAACAATTTTCATCAGGTTAACGTTTTACATCCCTATTGGTAACCGGTAAGCATGAGTCTTACTGGTTAACCTGCCTTAACCGTTAACCCCCGGCCTCGGCCAGCCCTGCGCTGCCCAGCCCCATGCCGCCCGGCCCCGCCTGGATTGGCCCCAGCCATGCCGGCAGGATTGGCCCAGCCACTTAATCAGTTAACTGTTTAAACAAATTTTTTTTAATCGTTTAAACTGTTAACTTTTTTAATGGTATTTACATCCCTAGTTACCAAAAATACCTAATCACGATCAATACGAAGTAGAATAGCCATAAGGACCAAAGACTGAGCAATATGCACTTAAAGCCTTTACAGTGTAACCTGGACAACTGTTATATGCAACGTGAAAATTAGTCAGTAACATCTCTCTGTTCATACCACAGCACATTAGGCAAAATTTACGCAATAAACTGCACGAGGCTGTGTTAATGGGTTATCACTGATCAAACTGGTTTCTGATCAACAACAGAAGAGCTTATTTAGTAACAGACACTAAGCCATACAGTCCAAAGGGAAGTGACTAACGCAGCCAGAACAGCACCCAGTAAGTCACCGAGACCTTGGTAGTGGTCTTTCATTTTATCTAGTACAAATTTGTCACAAACCTCAGTACAGCCCTAGAGAAGCATTGGGAAATTCAGTGGGAAGTAAACTTTCTGGCATTTTCCATGTTTAAAATGGAACTTTTTAATTTAGTGTTTTCAAGATATATCAGGCTGTAAAAGTTAGCGTGCTGCACATTCCACCTTACCGCACTTCTAATTAGGCAATAATGTATAATCAATACGAGCAGTCCACGGATCACTGCATGACTATTTTTGGTCAGCGTCAGGGAGGCAGGAGAGAAACACAGGGTAGAGGGCTTCAGAGTGGGAAAAGTCAGCAGAATATAATTATGCGGAGGTCTTGTCTACAGTGAGAAAAAGAGGGAATCTCCCATCATTTCTCTAGCACCAGTTTGCTGCAGCTTCACATGTGCTAGCAATGCCAGAACACTAGAGTAGATTGGGCACCAGCATTGTAACTTTGGTGTTATTAAACCCTGCAGAATTAGAGGATATGGTGGTAAGAACACCCGTGAGTGATTTACACTAGTGTTTCTAGTGCTGATGGCAGGAGAACAATTTCTACTAGACCCAAAATGGAAGATTTATCTCAGTTTTTCACTGAAGACACAGCTCACTTCTCCCCAGGGTGTTTTTAAGGAATCAGCAATGAGTAGTGCAGAGCTAGCTTTCAGGGACATGAAGCTCCTGCTCCTCCCCATTTCATCTCCCACGTGAGTTTGCTCAGTATTCAGGAGCTTGGAAGCACAATGGCTCTGCTGAATATGGCAGGAGCTTGTGTTGTATCGAATTCACTTCAGAGGCCTTGCCACCTGCACTCAGCAATGCATTAAATAGAAAATCAGCACCTGCAATACAACCCAGCCATGTTTATTTAACCTTTCAAGGCAGGCTCCCCTGCAGTTTTGCTGAGAGAGAGCAATTTGACACAACAGACTATTAGTCCCAGACAACCTTGCAGGGATGCAACAGACAAAGCCCAGCATGACCAACCCACAACAGGCTTTTGAGAGAACACTCAGGGTTAAGCTTTTGCACGCACCATGGGTTTCCTCACAGAAAGAAAAATATCAAGCTGCAATGAGCATCACAGACTAAGGTTTTAATCTAGTAAATGCAATGTTTAGACATTTTTAAAACTCCTTAATGAGGACAGACTGCCCTTTATTTCAGTGTTATGGAATTCTCTATTATAATACCAGATGCCCAGTCTGTCCCCTCATTTGTGTCAAGACTGAAGAAATATATGGTTACCAAAGCTTTTAGTGGTTCCAAGCTGTTGCTGATCTTAATAGGTTTAACTGCACAAGGCCCGATGGCATCATTGTGCAGGACAGGTATATATGAACAGCAGCGGTATATGTGACCTTCTACTTCAGCCTCATCTCAACAGGCATCTGTGTGCCAGCACGACTTAATCCATTCCAGTCTCACCTCATTTCTGCAGGAATGGTCCTTAGAATAAGGAACTTCACTCACCCCACACAGCTTCTCCACTATTCAACACTGCTACTCTATCAGTAGTGTGTGTATTTTAGTCACTCTTAGCTCCTTGAGTGGGACCCCATGCCCGTCTTGTTTCCTTTTTACCATACTCCTTTGGTTTGCCTTATATTTTTTAGGCTTTCTAGAGAACTCTGCTTCGATTGCTGTTGTATTTTAATGCTGCAGCTCCCCGTCACAAATAAATATGAGTTACAGAGAATGAACTATCCCACTATAAAGGTATGTTTAGATGAAGACCATTTAACATTGCTTTGGCTCTCTAGCCCTACATGCAGCAATCTGATTCAGTCACATATCTTAGCCACACCCTCAAATTGGAAGGGAGGGATAGAAACAGGAGCGCTGGGCCTATAGCATGAGCTAAAGATCAATCCATTTGCTGCTGTGTGATGATTTCATGTTAAGAACTGCCGGCTTCCCTCTCCACTGGAGCAGGACCCTGAGAACTACAACCAGTTTCAGCATAGTCTCCCTAGCTAGCACAGAGATGGCTATTTTGTCAGAAAACTGTGTGACAAACATCAGATAAGGTAGGTTAGCTTAATGCACTTTGCTTATCAAGGCTTTGTCTACACTGACTTTTCTTATACCTTTCCACAGCGGTACCTCCACCAGTAGTAGAAATGGCAGGAACTTGCTAGCCAAGATATGGTCATTAAATTGTGTCAAGCCCTATCATCTAAATCCGATTAAAAAGCTGGTAGCTAGTTTATGCTACAGAATTACAGCTGCATCTTGCTACACATCTAAACATGGTTACAATTTTTTTCTAATGTAGCCAGGGCCTAAGGAATCAATGCCACCAGGAAGCATGCACCCCAGATTCCCATCAACCTCCACTGAGTTTGAGGTGAGTATCCTATAGTAGGATCAGGTCCTGAAGTAGAACATTGTGCCTAGAATTACTGTTAAGGTTTGGTTCTGTTTGAGGCTGCTAACATTGGCTAGTCTACCTGTATTACTGATTATTCACACTGTTTGAGCTAGTGCTTCACAACAGTATGCAAACATTCACTAATTATTATGGACATGTGCTGGTGAGAAACCAGCTGGAGAGCAACCCTATCAGAAACATATGGGGTCTCCTTAAGTTTTCGCCAGCAAAAGCTCTGCGTTTCCAATTATGCTGCGACTGAATGCAGCTTTTTTCCCCCCAACGTTCTCTTAGTTACTTTTCTTCCCCGCCCCGACACCAAAAAAGTCCACCCTAAATCTACATTGAAGTTTAGGATACGAGGTGCATTTATTTGAGAAGAAGGCAGAGAATGAGAGGGGGGCGTATACACCAATGTGGGATTTGCAGATGCCTGGGTTTATGCTTTTGCAAAGGAAGAGATAACAGGGCAGAACACTCAGCACTAAATCAGGACTACATGTTTATTTCTAAAAAAAAAAAAAAAAATCTGTTAAAAGCTTCAAATAAGTTACAGTATTTGATTCATACTGCACATCTCTTCAAGGACTCCTACCAGCCAATATTCTCTAATGTTTCCATCAAAAGAGAGACCACTTTGTGAAAGCACAGATTAGACACAACGTAACGGTGGCCTCCTTCAGATGCCTTTGGAATTCCCAGTTGATATGATTGCAGACCACATTAGTGCTCTACAAAGTACTAAGTTTTACTCGACACTTGCTACTGGCAGTAGTTATGTCCAGTAATAACTGGCCATTTACACCTCTACCCCGATATAACGTGACCCGATATAACACGAATTCGGATATAACACGGTAAAGCAGTGCTCCGGGGGCGGGGGGGGGACGGGGCTGCGCACTCCGGTGGATCAAAGCAAGTTTGATATAATGCGGTTTCACCTATACAGGTCTGTCTCATCTTACGCGGGAGTTCCGTTCCGCGGTTAGCGCGTAAAGCGAAAACCGCGTATAGCCAAAACTCCATTGAGTTCAATGGTGGGCGAAATCGTCCGCACTACAGGTATAGTATTAAAACTGTTGTTTTTCTCTTTTTTTTGTTTTTTGTTTTTGCCGACCGCGTAAAGTTGAAATTGCGCATGTTAAATGCGCATAAGATGCGACAGACCTGTAATGCGGTAAGATTTTTTGGCTCCCGAGGACAGCGTTATATCGGGGTAGAGGTGTAACTATCTGCCAGTTAGTGGCAGACTGTTACAACACACATCATAATTTA